GAGAGAGAGAGAGAGAGAGAGAGAGAGAGAGGGTGAAACTCCAACGAAACAGTCTTTCACAGCCCCGCGTTTGTTGTCCTCTTCTCCCTGTCTGCCTACGGTGTATCGGGCAATTCTGTTTGACGATATATAATACTAATGGTGATAATAAAACACAATATGATAAAGATGTGTTTGACGATGTATGTATATGTATCACAGCCCCTCGTTTGTTGTCCTCTTCTCCCTCTCTGCCTACGGTTTACCGGCCAGATCTGTTTGACGATATTTATATTTATATAATAGTAAAATGTAGAATATCAGAGTATGGCGCCATATGCGAGGGGCGTCTGAAGTCCGCAAAGTCGAAATTTTTATGCTACGTCAAATTCTTGGAGAGGATGAGGGTGAGGAAAACGAAGAGGAGGCCAACAAAGAAAAAAGAAAGACGAGGAGGAGGAGGACGATGAGTAGAAACATTGATGATGCAGAGGAGGGCAACAGAAACAAAAAGAAGACGAGGAGGAGGAGGAGGAGGAGGAGGAGGAGGAGATGAATAGGAACATTGAGGATGGAGAAGAACAAAGTGTATGACGAGGGCAACAAAGGGCAATGGTATCAGCCTCGACCTGATGGCACTCTATTCGGATGGCTGACTGCCAAGTATAGTCGGCGCCTCTACTGACTTACTCTTCCCCCCTATGGAGGCTGATGACCAGGCGTTCTATTCGGGTGAAGACGATATGACCGGTTGTTCTATTCGGGTGTGTCTTCACCCGAATAGAACGCCTGGTCATCGGCCTCCACCGGGGGAAGAGTAAGTCAGTAGAGGCCGACTATACTTATCGTCTTCACCCGAATAGAACGCCCTGTCATATCGTTTTCACCCGAATAGAACGCCTGGTCATCGGCCTTCACAGGGGAAAGAGTAAGTCAGTAGAGGCCGCCTATACTTGGCAGTCATCCATCCGAATAGAGTGCCATCAGGTCGAGGCTGATACCATTTCCCTTTGTTGCCCTCCTCATATACTTTGGTCTTCTCCATCCTCAATGTTCCTACTCATCTCCTCCTCCTCCTCCTCCTCCTCCTCCTCCTCTTTCTTTCTTCTTTTCTGTTTCCCTCCTCTGCATCATCAATGTTTCTCCTCCTCCTCCTCCTCCTCTTTCTTTC